ACTCTCCACTGGGCTCCATTTTTTCATTATTAATGCTAAGACCCCAAGGCTGCTTTTGACATGGTATGTTTGTTTGCGGTCTCGGGGAGTTCTAGGCAGCTGTTGTAGGGTTGAAGATTCCTTGGCTTTAGCGCCCAGGAATGCTTAACACGTCGTCATGAAAAGCTCCAAACGGGAAGTCGGCACCTAACCAAACCCTGAGACCCTAAACGATAAACCCCGAAGCCTCTACACCCCAAAGCCCCTAGACCCTAACACAACTCCGAAGCCAGCTTATACTCACAAGATTTTTCGTTCCTTCAACCACTTCTCCTTGCTGGAATGGAGGCGAAAGAGCCTCCAAGAACTCCAAGAACCCGATAGACTTTCCCTCGGCTTGGACTTTTTGAGGGTTTAGGATCGGTTTAGGTTTAGGTTCAGGGTTTAGGGTTTAGGATCGGTTTAGGTTTAGGGTTTAGGGTTTAGGATCGGTTTAGGTTTAAGGTTTAGGGTTTGGGCTTTCGGATCGGTTTAGGGTTTAGGGTCTCGTAACACTGGCAGCAGCCCAGTGAAGCTTCTCCGGCTCCCAGGGAGAAGGCGTAGCGACATAGAGAGCATCATGTCATAGTAGTAGAGCAGCTAACCATCAACTGTTTTGGGGTATTAGAATCTCCATAGAATCCCAAAAGTTGAATTTCAATTCCGTAAGGCATCCAGACCAGCGAATTCGAGACCCACCGGCTCCCCACCCTGAAGCACCCAACGAAGGCGTGAAGCGATGACCTTACCGGAGACTCCTAACGAACCCCTGAATCAGGGAATGCTCCTGGGAGGCCAAATGCAATCTGAAGAGTGACAAAATAGGCCCTAAACCCGGAACTCATACTGAAGGGATTTTGAAGTTTCAGGGTCTGGTATAGGGCTTCTCGGAACCCCATTGCATCAACGCCACGCTCTTTCTGGGGAGAAGATCGCTCCATGGCAGCGCTTGGTTATGGGTCTGGGGCTGGGTAGTTCTGTAATTTTGGTCCTTTATATAGGATCCTTGTTACCAGGAGGGTCCCCAAGCCAATTCACACAATGGTTCGAGCCTGATAGGTGTGGGAATTGGTCAACAGGTGGCCTGACGAATGTATCAGCAATTTGGATCATGTTATGCAAAGATTCCGGCGCCCATCTATCTTCCATCCAGTGGCATGTCTCGGCTTAACCCCAAGCCCCAAAGCGCCTAAAGCCCTAAACCTCTAAACTCTAAACCTTAAATCTGGCGTCTTTAAGGTCTCGGTGCTTGGCCTGCTAGCCGCAGCCTTGCGCGCGTAAAACCTCTGCCCACCCACACAAAAATTCGATCTGGGCGGAAAAGACTTGGCAGTCGGCGGCAAACCCCCAACCCTCAACCACAGTCAAACCATGACAGCCTCCTCCTGCTCGTACCAGTACCTGGCAGTATTTGCAGCAGTATTACTCCTACCCGCCAGCGGCGCCAAACACCACGAGTTCCGATTCCTCCCAGTAGAATACTCGTAGCAGTATCATTGAAGTGACCCTCACAGTAGTGCTAGTAACACTCCTTAGGATTGACTTACGGGCGCCGAGTTGCTGAACTCCCGGCAGCTTCTCTTAGTACATCAACAGGTGTAGTGTAGTGTTGCACACCAATATGCTTTCTGATAGAAAGGCAAAACCGTTAATGAGCACGTTGTCAGGAAATGCCAATGCGAATCCAGGTTGCAACGTCGAGCAATTTTGGCATCCCACTTGGGTGTCGCACGAGCCTATGATAGCTCCCTTCACCCAGCAATATCTCCAAAATTGCTACTCAAGTGATGTCTGTTGCATGTTTATATAAGTGCCTGTACTGACTGTAGTGTTAGTGGTGTGTTCACGTCTCTTCGGGTGCTCACCTTCCGTTGCATTGGGGCTGTCGACGACAGCCCCCCTGCACCTAAGTAGAACGCATGAGAATGCCCTGCACATCAGTGTTGATTTCCACAGTTCAGGGTTCTGAAGTGCCTCGCAAACGGAATGTGCAGCACGAATCATAATCAGTGAACTTTTGCCTTGCATGTAGAGAAGGGTTGACTTTTGGGAGACACGTGTTATCTTTCGTCTCCCCTGGGACCGGATTCCACAGATGCTGTACATAGGGGTCCAAGAGACCTGAACCAAGAGTTTCGAATTCGAGCTTGCGGCTCCAGCATTTCATAGTTTCTTCTTGGATCCAGGGACCTGGTTGGTAGGATTATGTACGCGTAAGGCAACGATCAGCTTCATGACAGTTCACTGGGGTAATGACACCTCGGCAACAGTACTACCCGTAAGCCTTCAAGCAGGGTTTCCAGGTCGTTCAGATATTGAGGCTCCACGTTTAGGGTTTGGGCCTACCTTGCGGCCAAAAGTCTGTGCACATTCAGAACTTGCTTCTTGCTTGTTGGAGCCCAGGGAGTTAGCCTGGCCTTCCTCACAATGCCTGTTTGAGGTAAGTACGAGGCTCCCACGCTGAAGACGGAGGCGATGCTTTATTCTCAAGCCCTGCTTTACAGGGTTGAAGGTTTAAGATCGGGATAGTTGCAATGCCAGATGTTTACCTGTACTTTATGAACGGATCTCAAGTCCTTCAGTAGACTAAGCACCTGGGAAAGATCTGGAGTAAGTAAGTGGTTACAGGTATGGTTGTAGTTCGGTTGCACATGCGCCTGAGCTCCAACAACTGCAATCTGGTTTGCACAGAGACAACCACAACCATCCGATGCCCCGGAATATTGTCATACCGATTTCTAGTTGGACATTCGGAGGCGACTTATGGGTGGCTGACGAAAGTGGGAACCGTACTGCTCGAGGGTCAGTGGGGGCGTGTTCTCGAGATTGATCCGCCACCCCAACTCCATCACTTCATCACCCCGACCCCTAACCGCACCATCCCGATCCTCCCAACTGCCTCCGCCCCTCCCCCCAAACCGCACCATCCCAACCATCCCAACCATCCCAACCATCCCAGCCCCCAGCCCCCCACCTTTGCGAGGAGGTGAAGAAGAGGGAGGAGGCTGAAAAGGCCCGAGCCGAAGAAGCTGCAAAGCGCAAAGCGGCTGAGGCCAAGATGCTGGAGAAGGCAAAGAAGAGGGAGGAAGCCGAGAACCCCAAGTGTAGCGTTTGTACCGTTGGGGCTGAGGAGTGTAGTGTTTAGGACAATACTTTAAGGTGTTGTGTTTCAGGTTTTCTGCTTTGGGGCTTCGGGTTGTAGGGTCCTTGAGTTCAGGGTTCGCTAGTCATCCAGAACCCAACCTTGATACGTTTGGTTTGATTGTCTACCCGTTGGTAGCATCAGTAGCATTCCTCCTTGCTTTTTTGGGTCATTGTGGGAGTAGGTCTGTTGGGCTTTGTCCTGCGGATTCTGCCGTTGACGATTTGCAGCGCTTCCGGATGACTTCCTACTCTGGGATTCGTATATCTGATCTGTGGTTGGCTTCTAGAGGTCAGGGGTACCTGATTTCGGCGTACCCTTCACTTAACAAGGTAGACAAAGATCCCAGTTTCTTGGGTGAGGCTTCCCCTTTTTGGAAACTCAATAAGGCTAATAGGCTAGTCTGGATCCCGGCATTTAGGGTGAGGGTTACCGCAGGGGAAATTGTCTCATGCGGTTGGTGGGTCGACCTCCGTAAACCGTCAGCCCGACACAGCAGTTGAGGGATCTTAGCTGAAGTTTTTCATATGCACATCAGCAGCACTTGGGGGCAAGGCCAACTTCAACTTGGAAGAGCCGCAGAAGTTGGCCGCGTACCTGAAGTATGCAGACATCCGTCTTCTTCGGGTCAAGTGCCTCTTCCCCCACTGACACGGAGACCATGCATGGGTTTGCTTTCTGTGATATGTACTTGTAGAGTGGCGCCGCAGGTACCTCTACGAGCTGTTGCGTCAGGAGAAGCTGCTGCCCAGACGCCAGGAAGCGGAGTGGGCCTTAGGCCTTAGGCCTGTTGAGATCATCCTGTTGCCGTCGCTTTCGTCCACCACGCGCCGAGGAAGACTGGGGCCTCGTAAGCCACGAGGAGGTGAGTGAGTGGGCAGCAGGGACCCGAGACGCGATGCTCATTTCTGTTTCACATGCCTGGGAGACCCGTGAACACCCGGATCCCTGCGGCGACCAGTTGAAACGGCTGGTCAACTGCTTAAGCCTCTACGATGCTGCCTATTTTTCTGAGATTTGGGTTTTTTACGATTATGTATCTCTCTTTCAATACGAGCGGCAGACAGACGTGGAATACGAGAGCGTTCGCAGATCCATGAGCCACATGCATATGTGTTACGCCCACGAATGCAACTGGACCGTTCGCTTG